CACGCGAGTCAGCGGGTGGGCTAGGCTCACAGGAGTGAGGCAGCTGGGAGGGGGTGGGTCCCAGTTGAGTCAGGCCCCGGGACGGGACGGGGTGGCACTTCCACTTGGTGCTGGAGGAGGAGGCATTAGCAAGAGGAGGCGAATGGCGAGCCCCGTGTCCTGCTATCTCATCCGGTCACACCTCTCCCAGGGGCAGAGGAGGCAGGAGAGGGAGCTGCAATTGTGTCACTGGAATGTGTTACCAACACCAGCCACGGCTCCGGCTCCGTAGCTGGGAGTGGCTGATCGCATCATTGATTACCGTGACTAGGCCCAGGATGAACCACAGTGCTCTGAGGATTAGGTGCTGAGGGAAGCTCCACGGCAGGGAAAGAAAGAGGAAGACAAGATTTTGGAAGCAACGAGAAGGGGAAAAAATAATGTTTTGCCAGAAAGAGTAAATTTACGGGTGAATATAAAAGACTGAAAACGCAGTGTGGTTTTACAATCCATGTAGACATAAAGTGTATGTCACAGTGACAGAGGACCGGAGGGTGCAAATACGGAAGAACCTCAGTTCTAGAACTTAATTCATTCCGGAAGGCTGTTCAAGAAGTGATTTGTTTAAAACCCGAATCAGTTTTTCTCATTAGAAATCATGTAAATTGAGTTAATCTGTTCCAGACCCCCAGACGAGTCCCTGTTTTAACCTTTCTCAATTGCCTTGATCATTGTTCCATGAGCGATTACATCCCTCAGCAACATTAGCGCTCTTCACGCTTTAAAATGGTGCTCATTGTCAGTTTGGCCGGGCCACGCTCAGTAGCCAGATCGGACATGCGAACACCTCTATCACACTCTGCAAGTATTTTTTAAATCTCTATTGTTGCTCTCACAACTTTATTTTCACTTTGCTTCTTAGGACTCATGGTGACTTACTGTATGTATTTAATAATAGGCAACAACAAAAGCAAAAATAAAACAAAAACCCACGAAAATATTCACAGCACAATTTCCTGAGATGTTAACAATGTGAGGTTTAGCTGCGAATTGACTCATGCTTCGCATTCTCTCCTTTGTTTGTGCCCGAGACGCGTGGCTGCTCATACAGGTATTGGCATGAAAGAGCTGTCGGGTCGAGAACCAACGTTTTTTTGACAACCGAGACATTTT